AATTAAAAAAAAAAAAAGAACTAACTTGCTCAAAACGGAGAAATGGCATGGAAGTGAGTGCCTCCAGGTCTCTGCTGAAGTTTACTTTGGGGAAGCCCAAATGCCAGTGTGTCACACATACAGGAAGGAGCATACATGTTTGTCTTGCCACTTGATACAAAGAACTTCTGAGGCCACCGCTGAGGGTCATTTGTACCAATGGTGCAAAGGCGCAGATGGGTAAAAGTGCTGCGGCCTTAGAATAAACACACTGTGTCAGTAGTCACGAACTCCTCCTTGATGTGTTGCCCGATGTATGAGGAGGAAAAAGGCCAGTTTCATTTAAGAATGACTTTGAAGAAGGAGTAAAAACTTCTTATTTAGTCCCAAACCTTAGTACTTATCTTTCAGTTGTCGTTTCACCTTTTGTATTTGAGACAGGGAATCCCAGTAGCCCCAGCTAGCCTGGAACTGTATACACTAGGCTGACCCTGATCTCACAGAGATCTGTCTGCCTCTGCCTCCAGAGTGCTAAGATTAAAGCTGTGCACCACCATGCCCAGCAATACGTTTCTTTTCAATCAAAATCTTTTCAATATTTGTTGAATGAGGAAATGAATGAATGCATTAACTTTGAGTGGAACAAAGCAGGTAACAGAACACATCAAATTAGAAAGGGAACTTGGGCCAGAGCCTGACAGAGGCCCTATCTGTGATCCTGTTGGAAAAACACGTGGGTCTAGACAGTGCGTTTAGGCTATGGGCCTGGAAATCTAAGACAGTGGCTTAAGAGAAGTAGCTTGGTTGGTATAGACCAGCCTTCTCTGGAGTATCAAGTAAAAAGCCTGAAAACAGAGTACCAGTTGGTCTCAGGATCAAACAGGGAGTCCTACAGTTGAAACTAGTGTTAGATCAATGGCCAGATCAACTTCGTGCAGAGTTCCCAGAGCTGCTGAAGGCTCCCATCACAGCCGCCAGGATAGGTTTGGAATCTTGTGGAGAGCTCATGTGTCTTAACCTTGGTGAGAAGGAGACATACCCAGAATATACAAGGGTAAGAAAGCTGGAAGATTGAGGCCATGGGTTTAGTTTCTGTTAACCACCAGCTGTTAGTAATGCTAGTCTTCTCTCTCTTTTTCCCTTTCCTGAGTTATTAACTTGGAGCAAGTAACTTCCTTGTTCCAGTTAGATGTCCCAAAGACAAATACAGCATGCAGATTCATTCTTTCTTACAGTCCAGGCTTCTTTCAGGGATTTACTCTTACAGTTTAGATATAAAAGGTTCATCAACATGTCTCCAGTGTAGAAGGTTTGACCCTCAGCTGGTGGTGCTATTGAGGGGCGACTGGGTCATGAGAGAAGGGATTAATCTGTTGATGAGCTCATAGCTGAATGGGCTATTAGAAAGTAGAGTTTCTTTGGACAATAGGGACCATCAAGGGCATTACTTTGAAGGGTAAATCTTGTCCCCAGACCCATCCTGCCTCCCTTGCTCTCTCTCTCTCTCTCTCTGGTTCCTGGCTGCCACAAGTAAGCAGCTTTCCTCTTCCATGCCCTTCCACCATGATGTCTCTGCTTTGTATCAAGTCTAAAAGTAATAGAGCCAAATGATCATATCTAAAAAAAAACTTTGAAGGCCGGCGTGGTAGTGCAGGCCTTTAATCCCAGCACTTCGGAAGCAGAGGCAGGTGGATCTTTGTGAGTTTGAGGCCACCGAGTGAGTTCTGGTCTACATAGTGAGTTCCAGGACAGCTGGGGCTATAGGGAGACCCTGTCTTAAAAAGACAAAAACAAAAAACAAAAACAAAACCCAAACAAACAAAAAAAAACCCAACAAAAACAAAAAACTTTGAAACAGTGATATAAAATGAATCTTTCCTCTTTGTTTCTTTTTCCTCAAGTGTATTGTCACAGTGATGGGAATCTCAGTGAATGGACCCAATGTCGGTCTATGTCAGAAATTTGGAAACTACCTGTCACTTTCCTTCATCAATATAGTATTTTAGCTAGGTGTGGTGGTGCAAGCTTTTAATTCCAGCACTTAATAGACAGAGACAGCCAGATCTCTGAGAGTATCCAGGCCAGCTGGGGCTACAAGGAGGCCCTGTCTCAAAAAGACCATATATATATAATGTGTATATAATATATATATATAATTTATATATTTATATAATATACATACGTATAAAAATAATCTTATCGGCCTCCTAAACATCTCCCCCCAAAATGTGTACCTCTTTCCACCTGTATCATCCAAACCACTCAGGGGCAAGCTCTATGTGCACTTTCTCTTAAGCTACTGTCCTAGATTTATTTCTAGACTATTGTCCTAAACCTGCTCTGTCTGGACCTAAATACTCTCCTACTGTGATCATAAGGATGTTTTCCAGAAGCATCTTCCCCATCACTGCCCTGTTTTAAAGTCTTTCAAAGGCTTCCAATTGCTGTTGGATAAGGCTAAGCATGGTTTTGCTCCTATGATTGTTCCCCATCCTCCTATCACACCCCAGGCCCTAGCTCTCTGTATTCCAGTCTCTGGCCTTCTTTTCAGTCCCTTGGATGTGTGGTAGCTTCTCCCTTCCCAAGACTCCGGTTCATGCTGTTCCCTCTGTCTGCTCCGGCTGCCTTTGAGCCACTCTTGCCCAGTTCTTGAAAGTCTCGGTGTGATTGCTGACATTGGCTTCCGGCTCCATCTGGGTCCCCAGCTTTCAGGAAGGGCTTCCTTGAATGTCTTCAGCACTGCCAAGGCTGGGCAGGAGGCCAGAGTGCCCCACCATGGCCAACTGAGGGAAGTGGAGTCAAGCTTCCAGCTGAGGAGCTGTGTCCAGCAGAATTGTGGGGGGTGGGGAATTGCACAAGCTTCAGGGCAATGGCACTAAACATCCTGGCATAGCCCCAGTGGCTCTGCCCTCTCATTAAATGCTGAATTCATAGCTTGATCTTAGAAATGAATTGTTCTGGGCACCTGGTTTTGCCAGGCACACTGGCCAGTTCCTACCTCTGTTCATCTTTTGGAATCTGAATGAGGCACTGCTCCCTTCCTCCATGCCATAGGACTGAAGCTGCCTCAGGTAGTGACTGTCACTCAGCTCACTACTGTTCTCAGGGCTGTACTCGGCCTCTCATTGAGCCTCTAGATCGGACATACCCTCTTCAAAGAGAGCCTCCAGGATCACATGAGTGTAGGAATCACAATCTGATTCCTGGGAGGACGTGACAGGGAGAGAAAGGAGAAGAGGGGGAGAGGAAGGAAAGGTCCCTGTCTGTCTCCCATTTCTGCTCCATGTGGCAGCTCACTACACTGTGAACTTCCGTAGAAACTTCCAGGGAAGAATGCGCTGAGCAGCTGAAAAGAAGTGTAGAAATCATCTAATTTTCTCATTCTGCAGATGAGGAAATCATAGCACTTAAATGTTTAAACTCCTTTTATCACTGAAGAGTTTCAAGAAGCTGTCCAGTGATGACAGGGAGAGGGATAGTCACAAGGATCCTATTGTCAGGACTCCCTGGTCTTGGTCTTTGCACTACCTTCCTTGTAGCCTTGAGAAACAACTGTTGTCACAGACATTTGGGGGATGTTCTATGCTTAGGAAAGCACTTCTAGATCTTGGTTCCTTTTGATCCTTCTTTCAACCAGCTACATGGAGGCTCTTTCTTATTACTATTCCTAGGTAGATGGTTCAGTTGATAAAGTGCTTGCTGGATAAACATGAGGACCAGAGTTCTCTCTCCAGAACCCACATCAAAAAAAGGCATATGTAGTGGTGAGTGTCTGTAATCCCAGATGGAGATAGAAGCAGGTGGATTCCTGCAGCTTGCTGGCCAGCTAGCCTGGCCAAATCAGTAAGCTCCCGGCCAATGAAAGATACTGTCTCAGAAAACAAATTGGTTGGGGCTGGAGAGATGGCTCAGTGGTTAAGAGCATCATTGCTCTTGGAGAGGACCCAGATTCAGTTTCCAGTACCTACTTGTAGCTCATAACCATCTGTAACTCCAGTTACAGGGGACCTTATACTTTCTTCTGGTCTCCACTGGTGCCAGGCATGCACATTGTGCACATGCATTCATGTAGGCAAACACTCATATGCATAAAATAAAAATAAATCTTTTTTAAAAAGGTGGCTGGGTATGGTGACCCAGGCCTTTAATATTAGCATTCCAGAGGCAGAGGCAGGTGGATCTTTGTGAGATCAACACCACCCTGGTCTACATGGTGAGTTCCAGACCAGCTAGGGATAGGAGAACCCTGTCTAAAAAGAATGGTGATGACATCCAAGAAACAACACCTGAAGTGGGTATTCACACACACACACACACACACACACACACACACACACACACATAAGTGAAGGCTGGTACTCTGTGTGGTAAAGTGACTTAACCTAAGATTACACATTATTAAGACACAGTTCCAATTCAAAAGAATTGAAAACAGGTGTTAAAATGAATACATTGTACTCAACGTGACAGCTCTACTTATAATAGCCCAAAAATTAAAACAACTCAAATCCCCACCAATAAATCAGTGGATAGACAGAGTGCAGTATAACCACACCACAGAATATTCTGCCATAAAGAGATGAAGTGTAGATTCATGCTTCAACATGGATGGACCTCAAAAACATGATACTAAATGAAAGATACCAACATAGAAGGTCTCATAAGGTAGGATTACACTTACAGACAATGTCCAGAATCTCCAGGCATAATGGTACACAGCCCTTTTCATGCTTCAACATGGATGGACCTCAAAAACATGATACTAAATGAAAGATAACAACATAGAAGGTCTCATAAGGTAGGATTACACTTACAATGTCCAGAATCTCCAGGCATAATGGTACACAGCCTGATCCTGTCTCAAAAAAAAAAAATCCAGATTCAATTAAGTCACAGCTGCAGTTCAGATTGGTGGTTGATAGAGGTTGGAGGCAAAAGAAAAATCCTGAGTGTGTAACGGATGATACAGGCACACTGTAACTAATCCAGGTGTGGCGGTCCTTGCCTATAATCCCAGCATGCGCAAAACTGAGGCACGAAGAATACAAGCCCAAGGCTAGCCAGGACTACAGAATGAGACCCTAAAAGTAGAAGGGAAACTATCTACAGAACAAAGGAGATTAGTGGACGTGGAGAGGGGCACGAAAAGGGCAGGTGGACAGGATGAGGGAATATGCTCAGCATATAATATATATTTATATGAAACTATTTAAAAACTAAAATTGAAAAATTTTAAATGTAGGCCTGGGCTGGGGAGATGGATCAGTGGAAAAAGCCCTTGCCATGCAAATTTGAGATCCCCAGCACCCACAAAAAAGCTGGACAGGCATGATGGCCTCCTTGTAACCTCAGAGCTCAAAAGGCAGAGATGGGGGATCCTAGGGTCAAGCTGGCTAGAGAGACTATTGGAATCAGTGGGCTCGAGATTCTGTGAGATCTTGCCTCAGTAAATAAAGTGAAGAATGATCAAGGAAAGCATTCAGCATCAATCTCTGGTTTCCATACACACCAGAAAACAATGTGCACCCACACGCAAATACACATACATATATACATACGCCACATACATTCATGCACACACAAAGAAAATAGGCCTACGTCTTTTGTATAATTTTTAAAAACACCTAGACTCTTTTGTTTATTTAGTAAGTGAATACTAAATGCATTGGGGGAATGTAGGAGAAAGGAAAAATGTAAAAGATCTGCTCTCTCTTAAGAAATAAAAGTGTTGGAGTGAGACAGAGTCATTGTATAGCACTGTGAATGTACTAAATGCTATTGAACGGTAAGTATAAAGTGGTTGATTTTCTGTGAATCTCATCTCAATAAAAATAAAATAGGCAGATTCCAAGTCTCGCAGAGTTCAACACTGCAGCAAAAGCAGCTGTTGTCCTGCCTCCCACGGAAAACCCCACCTTGTGGGAATAAGGCCTTAAAACGCAGAACTGCCTCCTGGATCTACTTACGGTAAACTGTGGCCCTGTGGTAAAGGGATCAGGAAACAGGCTCATTGGTTCAGCTGGGAATGTTTTTATCTTCAAAAAAAGAGAAAGACAAAGGGATTACCTTCAGGTCAGAAAAGAACATTTCAAAGTCTTTACTGGTACACTTTTAGAACCAAGATGAAGGACGTGGGGAAGCTTTGTGGGGCCTTCATCCCTCAGTGATGGGGGTGGCCTGGAGATCCTTTTACTGAGACTTTCAGGGCCTGAGTCCCAGGCCTCGAATAGAAAAGGTCACACTCAAGATAGCTAAGGAGGCAAGCCTGAGCTGCCGGGGGTGAACTCTGAGGGTTTCTTCATAGCTCTAGAGTACAGCAAGAAACTCCTGAGAGGTCCTTTGGTGACACAGTGTATCAAAGTCGGCAGGTGCAGTAGGCTGAGCCAGTTAGACCAGAAAACAGTACTGGTCTAATGATTTTCATAGTTAGACTCCCTGTACACTTTGGGAGAAGAACTCAGGAGAGCCCATGGAAACACATGGAAATCCTGCCACCAAGGCCTTTTGGTGAGACACTCACAAGTGCCCAGTGCTGCAGCATGGAATGCTAGTCTCAATGAGGCCCATGTCCCAGGTGGTAGGCGGTGACTCTGGCACTACCTCTGTCTGCAGTCCTCAGGCCCAGAAACTACCTGTGCAGCTGTGCAGGCAGGGGCTGCCCACAAGGCACAGAGGACATCCTTGCCCAGTGGCAGTGGCCTTGTGTCCTATGGGATTTCACTTGTCTCTGGGCCAGTGCCTTGGTACTGGCATACTGTTCTAATGGAGACGAAGGAGGGAGAAGCAAGAACACAGCAAACCAGACCCAAATCAGCTGCAGTTTTCTGAATGGGCAGAACAGGTGTCAAGTAATATAGAACAACAATATCCTTGCAATATGTGCTATCATGTCCACCCAACCTTAAGCCCCGGTCAAGATTTCAGTCAAATCTGTTAGGTCTCTTTAAATGTCTCAAAATTCCCAGAATAAGTCCCAAGCTCCAAAAGACTCTCTGGGAAAAGTCTTGAAGTCAGTTTTCTTTGCCTGGCCTAACAGGATGACATGGTGTTTGGAGACCAATGTCACAATGAAAAGAAACTTGCAGATAGATTCTCAGGCCATCCTGAAATAGACAGGAAAATGCTTCTTTATAGCTATTAATGAAATGTGGAAGTTAGCAACCTCAAAGAACGGCCCTGTACATCTGTAAGGCAGCAGGCTACAATCCCCATGGGTATACTGCTGCTCATTCTGTGGCAGAACATACCCACTGCCTTCTGGTGGCATGGCCAAACTCTAAAACCACTTCAGAAGGAAGAAAAGTCAAAGTTATGCCGTGTCACCCACCCAACAGAATCTAGCCTAAGAAAATAAAAGCCCTGACGAAAAAAGCTTCATGATCCCTAGAACAGTGACAAAGTGCAAAGATGGCATACATCCTACCATGAGGGACTGAGGCCGATGGTTCACCATTCACTTGATGTAAAAT